ACTGAATTTTAGTGACCTGATTCACTTCTTTGCATTGGCTTCATTCAGAATTCAAATTAGATGTCACCTCCTCAAGGAGACCACAATGTAAATCCTAGGTATTCTCTGAAACTTTGTTAATTCACTGATACCTCTTATTACCCGATTTTTTTCTTATCATTTTTTGTTTGTTTATTGCCTATCTCTCCCCACAGGAATGTAAACTCCTCACAGCAGGGACTTGTTTCTCTAGGTTCCTCCAGTAGTCCCACTTCCTGGTGTAGTACCCCTGGCCTACAGGAGGTGCTTAAATACTTGATGAAGACTAGTTACAAGTTACTACAATGACTACATTCTAGTTAGCCAATACAGTTTTATATTTCGATTTTTACCACGTAGGCCTGTAAAGCTTTAGCAACACAGGCGTCTAAAGTGAAAGAAAAGTTTTTAAAAGAAGTCAACAGAAGCCGGTGACTATGCATGTTGACAAAAAATACAAAGGAGATTTTTTGCTCTAGATTTGTCCCTAATGATCTCAAAATCTCTGAGTAATAACTTCTGTGTAGCAAAAGTATGATAGGGCTTCTAAAAAAAACAATATGCTAACTTTATACTTTATTTGTAAAGTGCATCAGAGTTTTATTTAAATGGTTTATATACACACTTTAATTGGATTAATAATGGAACCACTAAAATAGATGAATGCAACCATATAAAAATAAAACTTGTATTTCAACAGGATGATAATTAATGCAATAGACCTTTTTTCTCTATCTGCTTTACTGACATTCTTGTCAACCTAAGAATAAATTCACTATGTTATGCAGTGATAAGAGTATATTTTAAAAGTTACACCCAAAACACCATGCAGACTAAATATCACAGAATATGACATCATGAAAATAAGTAGGTAATCTTCATAAATCTTTCTGAATAACATCAAACATCATACATTCTTCTGAATAATGTCACACAACCTTGATTAATGTAAAAATAATGAATTGATTTTTAAGTCATGTGATATTATGAGTAAATTCTATTAAAATGTTTATAATGACATCACGCATTAATCTTGTGCTCAGGGCCATTACTTGGATACACAGTAGGACAGAATGAATCCTGAATGAGCTATTACCAAGGTGAGATGATGTAAACTAGGTAAAACACCAATATTTAATGTTATATAAGTATAAGTTATCATTTGTACTTTTTATACAATGATTATAAACTTAACTCAGGAAATAGTCAAAGTTAAGAAGTCTCCTCCAGTAAATCAACTATATACTTCAATAAAAAAGTTTAAAAAAATAGAAAAAAGAAGTCTCCTCCATTCTGACATTTGCAAGGGTGAATGCCTCATGTTCTCCAATTGAGAAAAAAAGCTCACATAAAACCTACCTCTATACTTAAATTCCAAAACAATATGTACATGCAACAACAGGTATAATTGGATTAAGAAGTAACATAAGCGTTAGCATTTTGAAGAGTAATGTCTGAGTGGCTACAATGTTATCATTTGATTGGGTAATGAATGGATATACTCATCATCTTTCCATCATTATTAAGTTAAATTATGCTTCTCAGGGTAACCCTGAATGACATTTCCCTTTTCAGTGATCTTTCATCCTCATATCTATTATTTAAACAGTTCCTTAAAAGTACTTAGCCAGCCTTCCCATTCAACCTTCCCATCTGTTTCACCTTTCACCTATTTACTCAAGCTATGCATTTTTATTTATGAGCACACTTATCTTACAGTTATATCTTCTTTCATTTAAAAAAAAAAACCTTCCAAAAAGTAGCCTCATTTTAACTCTGGTTATTATTTTCATTTGGTTCTTATATTCACTGTGCAGCCACCTCTTCCAAAACATACCTCTCAGATACATCTTTTGTAAGAGACCTAATGCCTCTGCCAGGCTCTACTTACTCAACCCAAAGTACCCCAGTACATTTACACCTGTTTTATACAGTTGTATCAGGATATCACAAGCACATCTTTCCTGCTCTGATCACTAAAACTCTCTAGTTTCAAACGTCCTTGCCCTTTCAGCGCAGAAGAGTGTAAACATTCAAAAACTGTGCATGAGGATCACATTCACGTGGAAGGTTACATTTTTTCACAAACTCGGAAGGTATAGGGATAGGCTCCTGAGAATGAGGCCAGTCTTCAGAGTCAAGGTAACAAGGATCCTGACCTATGCCCTTCTATGGTCAGGAGGATTACTTACACAGGCCATTTCATGTTACCAACGTTCAGCAACTTACACATTCTCGGCACATAGAAGCCTTTGGAGGATTAAGTGCTGAATGTAGTAGATTGCAATTGGCCACAAATATTTTGTAGCTCCTTCCATCAGGAATTGGGACTTATTACTCTGTGGAGAGGGAAAAGTCCAGCTGGTCTAGCTAGTCCAGCTGAAGCCCCAGACATGTAACTGAGCCCAGCCAGCACCATGTGGAACAGGGATGAGCTGTCCCAGTTAAGCCCAGCCTAGACTTCCAACCCACAGAATCATGAGTATTATTTCAAATAGCCAAACACTATACTGGAGATGATCTAGAAGTCTAAAATAGGGTTTTATTTAAATTAAGTACAGTATTGAGATGCTATGTAGCTGTACATTTTAATAGCTTGTGACCTTGGAAAAGTTTAAAAAATTTTCTTTCCTTATAAAATGGAGATTTTATAGAACTGTTTTGTTCTGGGGATACAATAAGTTAAAAGTCGTAAACTAGTACCTAGCACATAATAAATATCTAAGTTGTCATTATTTATACATAGCTATTAAAATCATGTTATTGAAAAGGTCCATGACATTGTCAGGTGAAAAAACACATGACAAAGTTGCATGTATAGTTATAAATATTCATTTACAAAAATGCTACTATTTATGTAGATATAGTAATAGAACAGCAGTATCTTCCCCGAGCTTATCCCTGGATAGCAGGAACATGAGTGACTTTTATTTTCTTCATTGCTTTTCTATATTTTCAAAAAATTTTTATAATAAAAATGTGTTGGATCTGTAATTAGGAAAACTATTATTTCCAAAAAAATTAAATGTTATATCCATAGAACAGCTAATTAATGTTTCCCCAATACTTAAAAGCATTAGGGAAGATTTTTATTGGAAACAGTCACAAGCTTTGTGTCTAGTATTATGCTATTATTTCTCTTTCTGTTTTAGCTAAGTGGAGAAAAAGATAGGGAGAGTCAGAAAGAATACCACATTAACCTGACTGACCTAAATAGTAGAAAGAAAAATTAAGGCTATCCCTTTGATTGGTTCTAAAATGCCTCAGGCTGTCACCCTTACTTTTCTGCTTGCAATGTCATCTGCCATCCCCATGTTTTTCATTAAACCAACTTCTGTTTATCTCAGTTTTTACATGTCACTTCCTCAGAGAGGCCTTCCCTGGTTTCTCCAGTCATTATTTGGCTTTCCAGGTCTAAATTTAGTTCTCTTTATAACTCCCCCTTATGATATTCAGGAATTCACATGCATTACTACACATAACTGAGCTTTTTCTTTGCGCTCACCATTCTACATGACGACAAAGAAAAAGCAACTGAGGCAGCTAACTTCAAGTTACAGCTTCCCTTGTGCCTTTAAAAATATAGAAGGAAAGTGAGGGTTTGTATGCACATGTAGAAAATGACTATGATGCAGTTTACTTTCTTAGAAGCCAAAAAGTGAACAATCACAGCTCCCAAATACATATTCTTTAAAAAAAATCCAGAGAACTGTTTTAAAGTGTAGTAACAGGTCACAACAGAACATTTATAAACTAATTAATAAACTCACTATAACTCTGAGGGAAAATTTATTTATGATATATTTCTGCATATTTGGCATCAACATAGTTGGCTATTTTTGCTTTTCTATGGTATAGTAAAATTTCTCATAAAGATTATTTATAAAAAATACTTGCTTACATTTACATAATCTTTTTAAGAGTGCATTAAGCAAGTTTAAGGGGTTATTTTCACATTTTATCTGTGAATTACTAGTATTTTGGCTACTCAAGGTAGCTCAATAGGTCAAATCATTGTTAAAAAAAAGAATGTATATCAATTTTTTAAAATCAAAGCTGTACTAAGAATGAAACAATTGTGATTTTTGTCCATCTGGGGGTTGTACAACATATTGAAACAACTAATGTTTATGTACTCTTTTACTTAAAAAATGTTTTAGCATTCTTCAATTCACCTGGCAATGGATGCCAAGTTCCTACCTGGAGTAATTAGTTCCACATAGAGGTAATGGTCCCCACCGCCCCCCTGTAACACTGACAATCAAGTTACTCAAAGTGAAAATAGGAAGATTCCTCAGCCATTGAAGAAACAAATACATTGTCTCTTTATATGTATAAACATCTAGGAACACTTAAGTCTAATCAACATCTCCAGCAAACATAATTAAATGTAAAGGATAACCATAATGTAATTAATTATCTGATAAGGTTCTTAAGATGCAAGAGAAAGAAGACAGTCTCTGTGTAAATTCTAGAAGGGGGAGCCCAAAGCATACAATCTCTAAATCCCATGATCTTTTACTGTGATTATTTACCTTACACATCAGGAAGGAAATGAGGAAGTAGTAATACCTGTAGATGTTTAGTGGTGACATAAGAAAAGTGTCTCAATGAGACTCCATCTAGCATTTGACTGCTCAGTGGAATGCTGATGGTGGCAGAGAAAATGTAGCAGCCACAGAAAACTTATGCACAAAATGTTCAGGTTGGAGAGAAAGGTAGTTTCAATAGCACAAAACCAGGCATAGAATATTTTAGAGAACATGCTGAAGCAAAGCAAAACCTGTAGAAAATAAAGTCTGCAATTTAACAAATAGGTAAGCAAAATACAAAACCAAGTTACAAACACGAGGGCTCTGGGCCAAATCCCACCTGTGGAAGTATCTGGCACGCACACAGTTTGAGAATAATAATACAAGTGAATTAATTGACAATACTTAAATCAAAAGATGTCACATGAAAATTTGCATTTCCTGCTTTACCTGAGAAACTGGACAATGTGGTAACACTAGGTCAGCATTCCTGCCTTGCAACAATTATCTGGAACGGAGCAGTGGCTGCTCCTTCAGAAAGGACTTGGCTCTCCAGTACACTGCAGTGGCTTCCTGCTTCATTCCCACCAGCCTGGCCTCCGTAGGCACTTGGGTTTCCAACCTTCTGGAATAGAAAGGACCTTGAGGTAAGGCTTGAAGGACAGACTGTAGACCTTGACAAGAGGTACAACTTATTTCTTTTAATGACCATTTAACCTACACTTCATTGTTTCTTCACAAGGGTAGAGGATGAACTCTACTCTGTAGTGAATCTTCACACATTGTTAGTATATGAAGGAATACCAGCCGGTAAGCCAGCTAAAACCACAAGCACACACAGTCAACTTTCTTAATGAAATTGATTTAACCCTGTGACTATGGTGATCGTTGAATTAGAGGAGTCAGAGGGTACAGAGAATGCTCATCCAACTTTAATTCTCTATCTTTCCTTCTTTATTAGCACCATTGTCAGCAATACCACATTATCATTATTTCAGGAACTTAATGTTGGGATCAAAGAATTATGGAACCAAATTGTACATTACCATTATTGAGTTTCAAAAAGACATTTTCCCCTGACTTTTAAAACGGCTTCCTTTTAGCAAATAAGGAAAAACATTATAAGGACTTTCAAAAGTATACTTGAGACCTTATTACCCCTTACTTAATTTTCTCCTAGCCATCAGGGAGACAAGGACAAGGTTGCTACTCAGCGTGGGTAAAATAATCCTTGGTGCAGTTTAACTCATTTTGTTCTGTGCAGTTTAACTCATTTTGTTCTGTTTCCACAGGCATTGAACAACCCTCTAATTATTTGATGGATTTCATAGGAGCTTTGATATCATTAAGTTAGTGACTTAGATATCAGATACAGGTATTTCAATCAATGAAAACAAACCAACCAACAAACAGGTCACCTGGTTTATAAATTAAATTCTTGCAAATATCGAATCAACATTGTGAAAATGACTATACTACCCAAAGCAATCTATAGATTCAATGCAGTCCCTATCAAACTAACAATGGCATTTTTCACAGAACTAGAACAAAAAATTTCAATTTGTATGGAAACATGAAATACCTGAATAGCCAAAACAATCTTGAGAAAGAAAAACGGAGCTGGAGGAATCAGGGTCCCTGATTTCAGACTATATTACAAAGCTACAGTAATCAAGACAGTATGGTACTGGCACAAAAACAGAAATATAGATCAATGGAACAGGATAGAAAGCCCAGAGATAAACCTACACACATATGGTCAACTAATCTATGACAAAGGAGGCAAGAATATACAATGGAGAAAAGACAGTCTCTTCAATAAGTGGTGCTGGGAAAACTGGACAGCTACATGTAAAAGAGTGAAATTAGAACACTCCCTAACACCATACACAAAAATAAACTCAAAATGGATTAAACACCTAAATGTAAGGTTAGACACTATAAAACTCTCAGAGGAAAACATAGGCAGAACACTCCATGACATAAATCACAGCAAGATCCCTTCTGATCCACCTCCTAGAGAAATGGAAATAAAAATAAACAAATGGGGGGCTTCCCTGGTGGCGCAGTGGTTGAGAGTCTGCCTGCCAATACAGGGGACACGGGTTTGTGCCCCAGTCCGGGAAGATCCCACATGCCGCAGAGCGGCTAGGCCTGTGAGCCATGGCTGCTGAGCCTGCGCATCTGGAGCCTATGCTCTGCAACAGGAGAGGTCACAGCAATGAGAGGCCCACGTACTGTAAAAAAAACAAAAACAAAAACAAATGGGGCCTAATGAAACTTCAAAGCTTTTGCACAGCAAAGGAAACCATAAACAAGATGAAAAGACAACCCTCAGAATGGGAGAAAATATTTGCCAATGAAGCAATTAACAAAGGATTAACCTCCAAAATTTACAAGCAGCTCATGCAGCTCAATATCAAAAAAACAAACAACCCAATCCAAAAATGGGCAGAAGACCTAAACAGACATTTCTCCAAAGAAGAAATATATAGATTGCCAACGAACACATGAAAGGATGCTCAACATCACTAATCATTAGAGAAATGCAAATCAAAACTACAATGAGGTATCACCTCACACCAGTCAGAATGGCCATCATCAAAAAATCTACAAACAATAAATGCTGTAGAGGGTGTGGAGAAAAGGGAACCCTCTTGCACTGTTGGTAGGAATGTAAATTGATACAGCCACTATGGAGAACAGTATGGAGGTTCCTTAAAAAACTAAAAACAGAACTGCCATACGACCCAGCAATCCCACTACTGGGCATATACCCTGAGAAAACCATAATTCAAAAAGAGTCATGTACCACAATGTTCACTGCAGCACTATTTACAATAGCCAGGACATGGAAGCAACCTAAGTGTCCATTGACAGATGAATGGATAAAGAAGTGTAGCACTTATATGCAATGGACTATTACTCAGCCATAAAAAGAAACGAAATTGAGTTATTTGTAGTGAGGTGGATGGACCTAGAGACTGTCATACAGAGTGGAGTAAGTCAGAAAGAGAAAAACAAATACCGTATGCTAACACATATATACGGAATCTAAAAAAAAAAGTTCTGAAGAACCTAGGGGCAGGACAGGAATAAAGACGCAGACATAGAGAATGGACTTGAGGACACGGGGAGGGGGAAGGGTAAGCTGGGATGAAGTGAGAGAGTGGCATGGACATATATACACTACCAAATGTAAAACAGATAGCTAGTGGGAAGCAGTTGCATAGCACAGGGAGATCACCTCCGTGCCTTGTGACCACCTAGAGGTGTGGGATAGGGAGGGTGGGAGGGAGACGCAAGAGGGAGGAGATATGGGGATATATGTATATGTGTAGCTGATTCACTTTGTTATACAGCAGAAAGTAACACACCATTGTAAAGAAATTATACTCCAATAAAGATGTTAAAAAAAAAAAAAAATATATAGATGGTCTTTGTCAGAACCTAGGAGGCCCATCACCCTTGAGAGGAATGGCGAAGTCAATGTTTTAAAATTGGAAAAGTAGGGATCACATCCTGGACCACAGTACTCCACAGGGTGCTCCTCTACCTTTGAGGTCTTTCCAGATATCTGGCCTACTTTTTCTTTTTCTTTTTGATTTTAGGCCAAAGCAGGACAGGGGGCTGTGTAGGACAGGGTGTAGCAGCATGCTTGAGCAACGCTATTCCTCAGAAAGCAGCCAAGAGAGACAAAGAAACAACTAAGGGATGTGGGACCAAGGTTAAATAACTACGTTTCTATATTCCTGATATATTAAAGGTACTCCTGGCATTATATTTAATGTTTTAAGTTTATCGGGAGTCAACTACATGTGAAGCACTGTAACAGATACTCGGGGCCCAGACCTAAAGAGAACATTGTTCCCCTAGCTCAAGGAGCTTACTGTCTGAGCGGTGGAGGGTAGGGAGGTGGGCAGTCAGGTAAACAGGTAATTAATTAGAACTCTGAGTGACACCAGCTGTGCTAGGGCTAAGTATGGAGCGCTAAATGAACACAAAGAAAGAGCTAGTCCAGTTTTCAGGGATCAGAGAAAGGGGGAAGCAGGATACATCTAAGGATGTGCAGAGGTTACACAGGCAAAGAAAGGTTAGTAGGAGGCCTGAAACCTTACCTAATCCATGCAAATGATCTTAGTTCCAAAAGATTAATATTGAAGATTTTATATTTATCTGGCAATAATAATCCCAATATGGTACTCATTTTTAGCTGTAAGCAAGCATAAAGGACTCATTTTGTTAGATCTGTTAACCTTGAGAAGTGATAAGTGACGAGGCATTAATGAATATTTTCCACAGGAAGATCTGGATGCCTGCCCGATACCTGAAATAGAAAATGATGCCCTGACAACCAGATAAGCAAATATTGTTCTGTATAAGAAATACTATGAAAGGATGATGATTCACTTCAGTAAGAAAGTGATTTAGATGTGACTGCACTGGAAGCAGAAGCTAAAACAAACAAGATATGGATGAGGGAGCCTTCCTACATAGATAAAGTAGTTCAAAACTGTTTGGAAGTATATCCTTTAATAAAAGTATGTCTTAAAATAAAAGAAGTCCATAAGTGATGAAAATAAGATGACTGTTGTGCTAAAGTTATTCTGGCCAAATGTATAAATAATACTGGCTGACATCCTACCATCTTCTGGGACTTTATACATACACATATTAACTCACTTAGCCTTGTCACAGCCCTGTAAGTAAGTACTACTACTTTTTCTTTTCTAGCGTTGAGGAAACTGAGGCAAGAGAAATTAAATAATTTTACCTTTCCTTTTCCTGTCTGATAATCAATTTCCCTCTTTTCCTATTTTACTTTTCTTCTTAGTATTCATCACTATCTAACATACTGTATTTTACTATTTATCCTATTATTGTCTGTCTCCTCTGATAAGAACATAAGCTCTGTGAACATATGGATGTTTTAGTCACCATAACAGACAAAAACCCTTGCTAATTAAAAAAAACTTTTTAAACTTGAAGTATAGTTGATTTACAGTGTAGTGCCAATCTCTGCTGTACAGCAGAGTAACTCAGTTTTACACATATAGACATTATTTTTTAATATTCTTTCCCATTATGGTTTATCCCAGACTAATTTGTGCTTTGGGCTCAATAGCTTCTTGAAGGCTGGCTTTGTATCGCAACTATTTTTACTTCTCATAGCACAAAGTATAGAATCTTACACATGCTGGAGCCAAAAATATTTGTTGAGTGAATGATGGGTGTAATTAATCAGTAAGGATATACAAAGCCCTTGCCATGTATGGCACTGCACTTGTCACCATAAATGGGCAAGTACAAAATACCATCAGTGTTCTTCAAGAACTTAGGAATAGAAACAGGTAGATGCATGAGGAATACCTGGTGTACAATATAAAAAGTCCTCACATTTCATTACTTCCGTTGTTCAATCATATAATGATGCCTAAAAATGCTTATTCACCACTTCTCTCAAGACATCCTAGTATTCTAATGCATTAATCTTTCTTGGAAATGCCACAACTGTTCACAACTCTATGCCTATGCACGTGTTGTTCCCTGGGCACAGAAAGATTTCCTCTCACTTTCTTAAAGCAACCTTCTGTCCTTTAAATTCCAGGGTCAACTCCTCCATGA